TTTTTTTTTTTTTTTTTTTTTTTTTTTTTTTGATTCTGCCTTTTTTCGTGTGGTGCGCGTCAGCTCTGGCATCTTCCGAGGCGCCGTGACGTGCAACCGTCTGACGTCAGCCTGTCCAAAGGGATCGCGGGTACCCTCACGTCCAGTGAAGTGAATGGCTTTTTTTGTTTTCTTTTTTTCATTTTGTTGGTCATGGAATGGTTTCCTGTTTTATTTTCCCCGTCTTTTCATGTTGTTGGTCATGATTTTTTTTATTTTTTTTTAAACCTAAATTATTCTCTCAATTTCACCTCACACTACCTACCTACCAGGCATACAGGGAATCCCGTAGCAGCCAGAACCGTGTTCACGAGAGAACATGGGGGGCTGCTCCCGACCTTTCCTTCTACCATCCTCGTTTTTTCTTTCCACGTTTTTCTGACCGTTCTGCTTTTTTTCGTGCGTGGCATCGGTGCGCGTCAGCTCTGGCATCTTCCCGCCCGAAGCCCCGGGACGTGCAACAACCCTCTGACATCCGCCTGTCCAAAAAAAAAAAAAAAAAAAAAAAGGGATCACGGATACCCTAACGTCCAGTGGAGTAAACGTTCTTCCCACTAGCGAAGGGGATAGGATAGAAATCCTGAATCTGGCTATAGCAGTTCTATCAGGCATTCAATCCGATGTTCTTTGCTAATGGGACCACGGCCCAGGCAGTGCTGAACAACGTCTTGAACGGGAACATGCAAAATTGGTCCATCTCCAGCGGCCTAGCTCAGTTGGTAAGGCACGCAAGTGGCATTCAGGAGGTCTTGGGTTCAATCCCCACTGGGCTCATGTACCTTCCTGGGCAAGCTTGGCGCCCTCCACCTAGAGATATGCCATTGGTCCCGCCGAGTGGCATTGAGCAGAGCCTGCGGATGTTCATAGGGGGAGGGGACCGGAGGGGAGGCACAGTGACTGGCCCATCGAAGAAGCTCTGTCCTGATGCTATCAGCTGACCGACTGACCCCTGTCGCCCACTTGCTGTAGCAGGTATCGCACCTGCTGCGTGGGTGTGGGTGCAGGCACAGTGACTGGCCCATCGAAGAAGCGCGGTCCGGCTGACCCCTGGCTGGTATCGCCCACTTGCTGTAGCAGGTATCGCACCTGCTGCGTGCGTGTGGGTGCAGCTCCGGCATGTTCCCTCGTTGGAGGCTTGAGCACGGATCTGGCTGCTACGGGGTTCCCCGTAATACTATAATGAAAACAAAACACGCCTGAACGGCCGTCCTGTCCAGGTTTGACACGTAATTGAAGTGGTTGGACTTAAAGAATTAGCCTTAAAAAAAATCGGTCCATCTGAACACTTTTCCCATAACCAAATTTGCCTACGTGTCAAGGAAAAAAAAAAAAAAAAAAAAGCACGGATACGTCTATGGCCCTCGCA